ATATTAATATAAAAATTAATGTGCAAAGTAGCCTACAAATTCTTTGGTGGGGGGCGCTGGCCCAAAAAAGGTTGAGAAACATTGATATAAAGTAAATATAGTTTTTCATGTTGCCCAGTGTTTTTTTTTTTTTTTTTTTTTTTTTTGTTTTTTTTACTGAAACTGTTGCACCAAAAAGAAAAATCTGAATTTTATTTACACAGCCTTGGTGTTCTGTTAAATAAAATAATAATAATAATAATGAATTTTATTTATAATGCCATTTATATGTCCAATAGAAATCTCAAAGGCATTCACAAGCTGATGATGGTAAGCTACTGGTTGTAGCTGCAGCTGGCTTGGGGCAGAATGACAGAAGCGCTATCAGCCAAATGAAAAATTTAAAAATAAGGGATCTGTTTCTTTGCTCTACGCTTTTCAAATGTATTTTTGAAGCATTGGATTGGGACTCGGCTGATGCCCAAAATTAAAATACTCTGACTTGGGACATCCCTAATTACAATATTGTCTTACTGAACTGTAAAACAGTTTAAGTTTAGGATGAAGTATTTCTGTTATAATATGATCAACAGTTGACAGTACCTCAGCAACATGCAAGGGTGTAGAATGGCAGTTGTCCAATCGGACTCCGTGGAAATATTTGGCAGTAATTTCAGTGTATTTCTGCATGTGCTCCCACAGGTAGGGGCAATCCTCAGGTCCTTTTCCATAGCGGAGTTTGACACTGTCTCCCCAGCAGATCAGCTCCCGACGCAGGTACACATTGGATCCTACACAGAAAATACAAATATCAAAGCCCTAAAATACAGCTCACTATTTGACCAAAAACAACCTCTATTTTCTAGGTTGTTGTTTGTGACTTTTACCTGGTTCAGCAAAGTTGCGCAGTGGATCATCACCCATCACCCAGCCGTTGTGAGCCAAGAAGTGGCACATCTTATCTGGTTTGTTTAAAAACTCCATCTCCTCCTCTAAAGTCATTTCCTCAAAGGGGAAGGTGAAATACCTGGAACAGAGGTATGATGACCCACATATCTTGGTTACATAAAGCTTTTACCAATCAGTGACATGTGGTCAGGTGAGGCAGATGAGGCAGTGCTTCAACTGTAATCCTGTTAAGTAAAAATAAGCATGAGAAGTAAAATAGATGCCAACAACGATGAGAGAAAATCAATTTGTCCACTTGAATTTTCTATAAATTGCTTTATATATTGGTACTTTCAAAATTTTTATGGTCAAAAATAACTGAATTTATTCATTGCTTGTTGAAATACACAAATGAAAACCAGGGTGAGGCAATGCAGTGCCTCACCTCTGTATCAAACAAGTGAATGAATCAGGCAATTGGCGCATGCCCATTGCTGCCTGTCTTTATGTTGTTTCATTACACATTTTCTATTATTTTGACATCCCACAGTCCGATATATCTATGTGTGTGATCTATTTAGTCTCTCTGATTACTGTGCAGTGAAAATGTGGTGGGTGTGGGAGAATGTAACTGTGCCTCACTAATAAAGGGCACTGCTAAGGCCCATAGGCACAATGAGCAACAGGTGTTCTTCTTTTACACATTGAAAAGACTCAAAACATTTAGGGGAAAAAGACACAGACGGAGCAGAACTGTTCAAGGTCACTTTCTTTGACTGACCAATTTTTGAAAATTAAAGGAAACTAGAAACAAAGATGTTTTTTTTTTCCTTTTCTTTTTTTTTTTCTTTTTACAACAGAATTAGAGATATTTGTGGAAAAAGATAGCGACATGGACGTTGGACGTTATATAAAATAAAGGTAAGATCATATGCGATTTTCAATGTAGAAAAGAGAGATCAGCCAAAGAAAACCTTCAATGAAATGAATACATAGCAATAATTATATTACTCAAGTACCGTATATTTCGCACTATAAGGCGCATCGGATTATAAGGCGCACCTTCAATGAATGGCCTATTTTAAAACTTTTTTCATATATAAAGTGTACCGCATTATAAGGCGCATAAAATAGATGCTACAGTAGAGGCTGGAGTTACGTTATGCATCCACTAGATGGAGCTGCACTAAAGGGAATGTCAACAAAACAGTCCGACTCCGGTCGGCGAGGAGAGCCTTCCGCGACTGGGCTGGGGCGTGGGCAGACGATGGTCACCCTTTTCCGTTCGCGCACAGCATGTTCGTGGAGATCGTTATGCTAAATGACCTGCAGACGACATGATTCTAGACGGTCGGTAGGTAGATAGGTCAGTCAAGTACCTTTCTCCAAAAAAGTTACTCAAGTGAATGTAACAAGTATTACCCACTTTTGAACATAGACAACATCAGTAGCCTGTACTTAACAAGATTAATGTGATATATTGGTAATAGGTAGTCATCATTTAGCCAACATTACCTGTGTACAACAGCATTACTGAACTCACTCTGTTAGTTTGGGGAAAAAAGCTGTGCAAAGTTCTTTGCGTTTTGCTGGTTTGCTGCCATGATTCTAACACACCTGTGTAGCTCTGCAGCAGCAACATTTCTCCTTCGCTGCCGCACAGGTGTAAACTCAGCGCGTGCATCTTAGCGCTCATGTTGCGCTTAAAGACGGCTCGGAAAAGCAGGTTACGACGTTTTAACAACGGATTAAACAGTTTAAACTGCTGAAAAAAGTGACAGAAGGCACAAATATGGGAAGTGCGGAAGCCCCTCCTGTATCAAATCAATATAGGAATAACAGAGAGTTGGTCATTTTATGGTAAAAACAACAAACAGCTTCCAGTCCACAGGGGGCACGGCTGACTCTGTGGGCGGGCAATGCACCCCAATGCAAGCCCATGCCGCCGGGCCTGCATCTGACGCTGGTGGAATCTGTGCCTTACCAGTCATGAACCTCATCACACATCACTGTTACCTATACAGTTACACAGTAATGCATACAAGATGATTAGCTTTTAATCTTACAAGTTTTAAAACTTGTAAGATTTAAAACTTGTAAAAATAGCATTCGTTTCTAGCATAATGATGTACCCATTAAGGGTAATGCAAAACCAGTGGTGGAGAAAGTACTCAAAAAATGTACTTAACCAAAAGTACAAAATATACAGACAAAAATGTAAGTAAAAGTAAAAGTACCACATTAACATTTTACTTAAGCAAAAGTAAAAAAGTTTTTGTTTTTTTTGCCACTAGTGGCATTTATTTTGAAAGAAATCCAACCGGGGAGGACATGGAACCAAGAAGCCACATAGCAGAGTTGTAGTCTAGACCACCAAACCCAAGACCAAATCANGACCAAGACCAGCACCNCACACTACAAGACACAATANAATTAAGTACACCTATCAAAATTGCTTCTCAAATTGATCTGAAAGATCCACATTCCCATAAAACACCTAGATATTAAATACTTAGAGCTGAAATAAATTTAATCAGTAAAGATCCGTCCAGAAGAATCGGATCGTTCCTGAATGTCATATCAGATTTTGGTCACAGCGTTGTCCCATATTTGCGACACCTCAGTCAACACCTCCACACAATAATTCGGCGCATGAGTGACAACTTTTTTTTCATCGCAGATGCAACATGTGTCTCTGTACAGCTAGCTTTCCTAGCATCACGTCCACATAGCTTACCTTTCTTTAAGCTTTCCTTCCAAGTGACGCTAAAAGTTGGACGAAGTCCCCACCGTCTGTGAAAGCGAAGCGCTGCTTATTTTACATGTCGCCATATCTTATGCTTTATGCAGTGCTATTATATTACTGACGATTAGAGGAAACCACTGCGCATGTCTGGAGCTCCCCCTTTACTCGCGTGCGAGTAAAGGGGGAGGCGATGGGTGACAACAAATACGCAAGTCACCTTATTGCTTGGATTTTACGGCGCCACCTTAAGTCCCTGAACTTCACATTTTAACGGAAAAAAAGAGCAATGCGACTTGGATGTAACGAGTAACGCGACGGTTTTGTAGAAATGTAGTTAAGTAGAAAGTATAGATACTTACTGTAAAATGTAGTGGAGTAAAAGTAGAAAGTATCCATTATTAAATCTACTTAAGTAAAGTACAGACACGAAAATTGTACTTAAGTACAGTAACGAAGTACTTGTACTTACTTCCCACCACTGTGCAAAACCATCTCTAACAGACAAAAATGTCCATTCTACTTTTCCAATGCTGCCTGCTTTGCTTACCATGTACTCTGTTCCTTCCCCATCAGTCATTACCTGGTGACAAGAGGCTCTTTTCTGGTAACAGGACCCAGTTTAGGACCGTGGTCAGCTAGACGTTCATACACTATGTTCCCCACAACGCAGTTGACGGCCTAGCAAAAGAAATTACAAGACAGAGGAAACAAAAGTCACGTGAATTCCCAATAACGACACACAGCAGAGTGTCTAGCATTTTCATTTTAACCATTTAAAAAGCCATAAGTGTCCATTTCAAACTATACAATGGGCTAGGCTGGTGTATTGCAATTACACAGACATTCGACTCCAATAAAAGCCACAGTTTTTCTCATGTTCTTTCATCCAAATATAACCATAACACCCACCTTCTTATGAACAGCAGAACTTTTGGGGGTTTTCTGACAGAGACGCAACCCAATGTACAAGTGTTGTGATGTGCTTTTCATATTTAAATTAATCAAAAAAATTAAGATATTTAGAAATCCAATCAGTCAGATAAATTCTTCTGTGTCTAAGCTGTGCTGCCTTTAACCTTACCTGTTCCTGATGCTGGTGTATGATGTGGTACTGTTCTTCATTCATCTCAGTCAACTTCTGTTTCAGCCAACCACAGCACTCTCCAATGTGCTGTGGAGAGGAGCTGGAGAGAGATGGAAAAAGAGGATAGGAATGAAGCAACAATATCCATCCATCTATTTTCTAACACCCTTGGCCCTAATGGGGTCAGGAGCGGTGCTGACCCCACTAGGGCCAGCTAGAAAAGCGGGGTACACCCTGGACAGGTCACCAGTCTGTTAAGTACAGATAATATC